TCCAAAATGAAATGTTAATTTTTATACACAGGTAATGCTATGTAAATTAGCAAGTATGTAGAATCATTATTAGCATTGAAACACATTTGGTAAGTGTGTTGTATTGTTTTAATTGAATAGTTAGTAGGTCATAGATAGAGCTCATTAAGAAATTATACTACCTACATACATATACTAGTACGCAAAGCACGCTAGCCTATACTACATTATTTTAATCGAATTTGCTATATTAATTCATTTCGACACTTCACGAATGTGTCAGCATTCCGTACTACTATGACTACTCCGACTACGCAACGTCTACGACGCGTAGCCAACGCTACGCCTGCGTAGCGACTACGTCGGCGTAGTTTGCTTACGCTAAACTAAATTCGGAGTATAATTTTTTTCTTCACTATCTATGGATGTTGCCAAAAAGCTTATTAAATTTTTTATAGTTTTCTCGGGTATAACTGACTAGCTTTTGCCCGCGACTTCACTCGCGTAAAATATTGACTTCTGCAGATTTTTGGTTTAAAAACTATCCCATGTCCTTTCACGAGTTCCAAACTATGTGAGGCGAGGATGTTTAGGCGTGAAGAAAAGACAGTCAGACAGACAAATTTACTTTCGCATTTATTATATTAGTTTGGATTAACGAGGATTTCGATAAGTTTTAGGCTGCGATAGAAGCTCATATTCAAAGTAACAGCTGTATTCTTTTTTTATATATATAAATTCTTATGCGCCTTTCTAAGATTTTCTCTTGTTTTATGGGTGAAAAAAAGTAAGTCATGCAATTTCACATATACAAACCACCTAGATCAGAAACAACAATTGAGTTTTGTACTGTGCGGGAATGGAACCCGCAAAACGTTGCACAGCAGCCAGTCATCACAAGGCACACGACGAACGTCGCGCAGCGACTGATTCATATGTCACAAAAGCTATAACACAAAAGCATACTATTAAACAAGAAAGCTGCCACATATAAACTATATAAAATCTAGCCTATTCTTAATTCTAGGTTTAAGTTGTCACCACGTGACCACGCGTCTCATGCAATGAAGATAGGGCAATTGTAAGATCTCCTTACAGTCGCCCTATCCTAAACCTTACCGTGGGTACCATGCACATGGTTTTGTCTCAATAATATATTGTAAAATGATATTAACAAATTCGCCTCGGAAAATTCTCAGAGTCTGCCACTAAGGAAAAACCACTTAGATCTTACGCATGGACACGGGACCTCAAGTCCCGAAAGAATAGGCTAGCTTTAGACGTGTTTGCTTCAAAACTGGTATCATCATTGCCTAGGCGATTTGATGACTAAACGCCGACTGATATCCCGAATAAGAGAATCGACGAATAAGAGCCCCGGTGTATCTTGAAAGTTATACCTAGGTGCCTGCCACTTACTTAGGTATCTTAAAAATCTTTATTTAATGTGTTATATTCCATTCACCCAGGGTGAGGCGAGAAGGAGGTGTTAGATTCTTACTGTCTTAAAATCCTCCCGTTTCTTCTCCTGCTCGAGGCCGGGATCGCGGTGCCTCATAACGCCAAAGGAGTAACAGGCGTGTTGCCGGCCATTTAAAAAGGAGTACGCATGTTTCTTGAAGATTTGAAAGTTGTATTGTTAAGGAAATACCGCCGCCGAAAGATCATTCCAAAAATTTGTTGTGCGAGGCAGAAAATTGGCGATTTTTCCGTGGTCCGAAATGGTCTATGGTGATTTGACATTTCGGGTTCGCGTAAGTGAGCTGCATTTTTCGATGAAATTTGGTATATCTATGTCTCACAAAAGTTACGACACAAAATAAATTCAATCTTTAAATATTACTTTAATAGACATCTTTAAGTTGAAATTTTTTTTTTTTTTTTTAATATAATAGGTCGGCAAACGAGCAGACGGATTACCTGATGGTAAGCAATCAGCGCCGCCCATGGACACGACACCCGCAACGGAGGAGTTACAAGTGCGTTGCCAACCTTTTAGGGATTAGGGATTTGGAGATTTAGGGATTGAGGGAGGGGAAGGATTGGGCCTCCGGTAACCTCACTCACACGGCGAAACACAACGCTGTGGTTGTTTCACGCCGGTTTTCTGTGAAGCCGTGGTATCACTCCGGTCGAGCCGACCCATTCGTGCCGAAGCATGGCTCTCCCACACTTAAAATAGATACAGTACCTGCCTACGCATATCCGTTAAGTTAAAAATAAACTTCGCGGAAAGGGCAATTTGTATCGCTTTGTTTTTGGTTATACAAAACAAATGATCACTTAATTAAGTGACTAATTAGTTGGGAGATCAATTAATTCCGTATCACGGTTGTCAGAACTTAATTAGAAGAAGGTGCTTTTGTTGTCCTAAGCCTGTCCTCCATACTTGAGTCACCATGACTTTACAATTCTATTTAAATTGTAACTTTATACTTTGGTACCAAAGTTTATTTTCGATTGCTACTGAATATAACTATCTATAGAATGTTTTTTTTTAAATAAAGTTAAGTGTGTGTTGTAATCGAATTCTAAATTTGGAAAATTTAAAATAAACAATCCGTGTGGTCGTTGTATATTATGCCCGTCCCTGCTTCGCATGGATGTCTTTTTTTTTTCACCAGAGAAAATCTTCTTCTAAGTAAATCCTTTTGTCCTCTCGCATAGAGTATGTCGAGAGGGAGTACCAGTTCTCAGACTCATTAAAACTCACCCTTTCCTTCTCCTACTCCAGGCCGAGGCGGCGGTCGGGCACGCTACTATAGCAGCGGTATGACCCCTCTTTGAGGAGTGGCTTGAGAGACGTCACGGCGTCCTCACCTTCCGCCTGACGCAAGTGCTTAGGTACCGGGCACGGCAGCTTCGGTAGGTTCCTGTTTCGGATCCAGCGGGAGGAAACGCCCGAGTGTCGTTATTGTGAGGATCACCTGGAGGACACAGTGGAGCAGACGGTGGCGGAGTGCCCTGCTTGGGCTGAGCATTGCTGTGTTCTCAGGGAAGTGATCGGTGGCGGCGACCTCTCGCGCCCGGCCTTAATCGAGGCCATGGTGCAGCGTGAGAGGAACTGGGAAGCTATCTCCTCCTTCTGCGAAGAACTATCCTCCTCGCGCCCCAGCCGCCGCAGAAGGCGACATTCCGGACGTCGGGGATCGAGAGATGATCTCCGGCCACCGTAAGCGCGGGTCTGTGGACGGCGAGTAAGGGTAGCTCGCCGCCCGACCAGAACCGGACCCGAGCGTACGGCGCGTAGCGTTCCGCGCGCGCCTCAAAGTCAAAGTCAAAGTCAAAATCATTTATTTCAATTAGACCCATACAGGCACTTTTGAACGTCAACACAACTTTAAAGATACAAAGTGTCAGTCTGTCGGTCAGTCCTCTTAGTGAAGCTATTCGCTCGTTCCAAAGTGTAGATTCCTATGGAGAAGAACGAGCAAGAAACTCCATGGTTACTCTTTTAAAATCAGTGTCACATAAACATTCTTTGATACATTATTTAGTTGGTTTGAATATGTGAGAACAGTGTAAAATAGTGTAGTGTATAGTACACAGTGTAGCAGTAGGTAGTGTACATAGTGTAGTAGTGAAACATAAAAAGAAAATAACCTTAAGGACAATAGATAGTCCGGAGCTGACCAGTCCCAATTGACGGCGCCCGTTCACGAGCATGACACGTACACCAGCATCGCCCAACTCAACCATAATATAGGGAATCGAGCGATCCAGTGACCGTGCCACCGCCAATGTGACCTTTGAGTGAGCATGACAACTCCAAGCTGACATAAGGACCTAGGAAACTACCCAATTCTTGTTCCGGGTATACATATGATGTCGTGCATGTAAAATGTGTGATTGATTTTAAACGCACCCATTAGACAAGAGAAATTCCAAGTATCGGGCAACGTTTTTTTATTTAAATATTAACTCAAGTGATTAAAATATAAAAATATAAATCAGTAGGTACTACGTACATAGATAATTTACAGTTAGATACACAGTTACACTTGCTCGTGTTGTTAATAAATTAATCGCCTTAACTTATTTTAAATTTACATCTGAATGCAGTAATGCTATTAAACTTTTGTCAGGCGCTAAATATTTGAAATCAGTAGTGACTATAAACATAAAAGAAGAATAAAAGCAGACAATGAACTGCTACTAGCATACCTAACAAGAACATACTTAGGTAGACATTAGGTATAATAAAAAGAAACTGGCAGTGTCTACCAAGTAGTACCTACTCATTAATCCATATTTATAGAGATTATGCTTCTGTAATATCTATAAATATGGATTAATGATACATCGCAAAATAGTTATAAACAATAGCCATGACTCATAAGTATTATGAATAAGACGGGGAAGTGGCAAAATAACATACGTAGGTAACAAAACTTGTAAATTTTTATAGAAATATCGTCAAAAATAGCTAGTGCCAGTCAATGCAACTGTCAAAACTATTTTTATGTTACCTCACACGACGATTTTCTGCTATACATATATGTACCACTAACCACCTTAATAAACTCTAAACAGCGCAATAAAAATTTGAGCGGGAGCCGGATCCACTTCACTAGACACAAATATATTTTATGATAAGCTCACAACACGGCTTCATTGATCGAAAAAAAATGTAATAATATATTGGTATTCCTAAGGATTACTTTAATTAAGTTTTTGACGGAAGTTTTTCTAAAACATCTTTTTTTCTGTCACAAAAATCCTATTAAATGTTCGTTTAATACTTGAAAGACTTGTATTCGAACAAGCAACAGAAAAAAAAATAAACGTCATCCCGACAATGACTTCGTGGTACGTTCCGAATATCTCATTTTCTAGCATACTACCTCAATGTTTCGAAGCTTTAGGATGAAGATTTTTGGAAATATAATTCTTAGTAGGACATCCTACTTTATCTATGTTATTTTAAAATCACTATTTAATGAATATATCTTTAAAAAGTCCATATGTCGTTTTTAAATAAAAACATATTTCTTGTGTGAAACGCACAAATTATTCATGGAGTTTCAAAACGCTCATGATTTTGACGTTTCGCTAATTTTCCTGCAGTGAAGAAGGAATGAATTAGTCGTAATTATTATTTTTCGCTTTAGTTTCGTCTAAATTCTTATGATAAAGTGTATTGTTAATAAACGTATTGTATTCAGACCAAAACAGGGGAGATATTTTCATCTTGCATTTTGTAAGTATAGTTTTGTTGAACAAACAGTTAGGACACTTCATGCGTGTATCCATGTTATTTTTCTGTATTCTATTTTGTGTGTAGACATCGCAGGAAGTTATTGTTGTCGATAAACACGTGATCCAAGGCCGACACTTGTCGCAACAAATAATTAAATTAAATAGTTTGCTAAATTTTATAATTTTCGATATGAAATGTATTTTACTTTAAAGAAACAATGTTTTGATTACGAAACAATGTCGTTATCACCTGCAAAACATTTCCTTTGTGCATCATTTTGTTGTTAATCGTGGCTGGTTGGCTAAGTTCTTGCCAAACCAGTTTCAGCATTGTAAATATTTTTATTAAATTAGTTTATTGACTGACACATCCCTGACATAGTGACCAAATTGACAACAGCAGATAAAGCTTAGATAGTGTGTGTTATTAGCTCTGAACTGTACTTTTATAGATTTCACAGTAATATAACAATAACATTTGTTTCCAGTAAATGTATGAGTAACATTTCTCTCTTTATTTCACATTGTAATCATAAAATATTAACTTGAAACAAAGTGTATTCTACTAAAGACACCAATAAATATAATAAGACTATAATAGTTGGTTTTAAAACCGTAAAGGGCTGAAAATAATCCATACATTAATTAATTACATGAAAACAATTTACTATTGTAAACAATAAATTGCTTAATTATGTTTATAAACAAGACAAATAAGTCATTAGGTTGGTTTCTTATTTTTAATGTGCTAATTTTGTTTTGTATATGCTAATGACTTATTTACAAATGAGTTCTAATTACTGTATACACTCTTATGATTGAAATTAACAAAATGTATCATTATCTAATGGATGGACATAGAATCGGTATTTATATACAATTCAAGGACTATGGTGGCTTATTTACTGTAAAGATTGGACACGCTTTGGACAGTGCAGTTTTACAGTATAAACATAAATAGTACTTATTTGTATCACAGATGATTAGAAATTTGTGATTTGTGCTTAAAATTTGTGTTTTATTATTACATATAATAATTAGAAGTATTGCGAGTTGAATGTATTATTCTTGTGACTTCAACAATTCATCCAATATGAATGTAAGTATTCATATTATTTCTTGTGGTTGTAAGGTTTTAGAGGAGGTAATATACATTCAAGTGATATCCATGAAACACAGTGGCAAGAAATGAATTTTTGTATATTTCTTTAGCAAAGGAAATGTTAATAAATATTTCTCCGTAATATTTACGTGACTTAGACTTAGACTTAGATTTCATTTACATAACTAGCTGCTGCCTGCGCCTTTACATGTGTTTTAAACGCAGGAGCATTTCATGCCAGGGCTACACTAAAATACGTAACTCAAGTATAATTATAGCCTATAGCATTCAGGAACATTGTAGCTATATCTACCAGTGAAAGAATTTTGGAAATCCAACCAGCAAGTAGTTCCAACGGTACCCCCTACATGCAAAACTTACAAATGATACCTCTTTATAACATTTAACTATAGATAGATGTATTCTAGAATTGTAAAACAGATCTAAACAGAATATACATTTTCTTCTTATTTGTTCATCTCCTAACAATTCTGACTGAAGCATACATTGTACTTATTAATGCTCACGAGGGCACAATCTTTGATCTAATTGAGTCAAATAAAATGATTTTGATTCCGGCAATTGTTTGTTAAAGGTATAAACCATGCAACTACCTCATCAGCCTACACGGACCTGCGTAGGAGCGCATGAGACTTGAGAGTACAGTGTGGAAGCTCACATAACACAGTCACAATGCTGGGCGTTGTCCTCACACTGCACTTGGCTCTGCTGACGGAGACCTTCGGCAATGTCATCGTGTACACACAGGAGACTCCGCATGTTGTGAGTAGTTTTTTTTGTTATATTTTACACAACACAAAATTTTGTTTTTCTATGTAATGTAAGCTTTCTGGTTCCGTATCTTGTTTTTACTTCGGCATTTGTTCACGATTCTGTCCTTGTGGAATATTCCTTCTTAAAAAGCCGGCAACGTACCTGTGACTCCTCTGGTGTTTCGGATGTCCATGGGCGACGCCGATCGCTTACCATCAGGTGATCCGTATGCTCGTTTGCCTCATATTCCATTAAAAAAAATATATAATATATAATATTTTGAGCAAAGATTATTTATCCTTTTCTAAGGTCAATTTGCGTTAACCCATGATATGCCGGAAGGTATATATCAAGGAAAAACAATGTATTTTCTATTGTGTCTCATATGCCGGCAGATTAAGGTTTGGAACTAATTGGTGTGAAAACAACACATAGATAGGGAAAAATACTTTCGCGATCAGCAGGATTTTTAACTTTTTCGTCCTTGCATCTTTTTACTAACAGTACCACCAAATTTGTGGTTGGCAACTGCCTCTTATATTGTCGACTTTACTGCCAGCTATATGTGGTGACGGCTGATTATACCGTCTTGTCAATTTGTTATTCTTTTGTTGTTAAATACAATAAAATTGTACAGATAGCGTTGTGTTTCGCCGTGTGGTTGAGGTTAACGGAGGCCCAATCCCTCGCTTCCCCTAATCCCTAAATCCTAATCCCCAAAAGGACGGCAACGCACTCGTCAATCTGTCGATGGGCGGCGCTGATTGCTTCCCCACGTCTGCTCGTTTGCCGTTGTATAACATAAAAAAATACAACGCGTCGATTCATTACATGACTCCAGTTTTCTTTAGGTAGTTACTGTCAATATCAAGGTCAAATCTATTAGTCTATAGACTTTTGTTGTAGATTAAAAATATAAATTTGTTTTTTTTTACACTGTTCCGCCATGTTGGTATTGTTGTCATAGTAAACAACATATTTTGTAGCACTAAAGATAAGGATCAACTCAAATATTTGGTTTAAAGAATCGATAATACTAAAATATGCCATATCATTGCCTGTACAGCTGTTTCAGTTAAAACATTTTTTTTTTTAATAGCTTTATGACTTGTTGTAGGTAACTTATAATTTTACATTAATTATTAATGTTAAAACTGAAAGCTACAGGTAGGTACTTTTTGATTTGAGCCGTAGATTGGGCAAACTGATATTGAACTTTTGTAAATTCTCACTTTAACAAGTGAAAAGTAATATCTATGATATCAGAAAGATTTATTTTATACAGAATATATGTTTTGTGGAAAACAAAAATATTCTTTTACCATGGCTCTATTTATATAGCTTTAGCTTTCCTCGAGAAATGAACTATCCAACATAAAAATAATTGTTCAATTCAAACCAGTAGTTCCTGAGACTAGCGTATTTCATTCAACATGAATAAAAACACTTCAGCTATATGTATATTATCACACATATATTAAAATACTAGATCTTACCCGAGGCTTCGGTCCTGTCATTTGACCACCTACACTTCCCACCTTACACCACCTATCCTCCCCTACCTACACTACCAACTCTATTCTATTCCTATGACCTTCTCACAGTTCTTAGCTACCTCCCTACCAATTTTCAGTCAAATCGCTTTAGCCGTTTTGGAGTTATAAATCATGTCACGACTGTCTTTTATATAAGCTTATAGATAAGTAATAATACGGTAGTTTCCAAACGTCAAAAACGATACTTTTCTATGAAATTTGTATGAAAAACTGAGCTATGACGTCATAGTATTTTTGCGTCAAATAGCTTACCTATTTCTTAATAATTAGCAACAAAATATCTAAAACTTAGTGTATCGATCGATCGATGAATAAAAGTATAGTTATTTTTCAATATTTCATTGTATTGAAACGTCGAATTAATTTGTTTTTGACCTAGGAAACTACCCAATTGTAGTTCAATTAAATGAAACTCCTTTCAAAACTGAATGGTAGGAGATCTTTTAGTTAAAGTAGCTTGTTATTTCGCACTTGGCGTAAAATTCTCAGCAAAAACTCAATGTTAACAACTTGCATCTTAATGACTGTATTGCAGGATGTGTTAATTAATTCATTAGTGAGGTTAACACAGGAATTAACACTTGTGAACTTTATATCCTTGACTTAAGGCACCCTATGGTAATTTGTTATTCCCAAACAAAATGAGTAAAACAATAATATACTCTTGGACCAAAACAGTGTTAAAAAATATGTACTTACGTGTCCGTTTTTAAGGGGAAAATAAATAAATTAATTCTCTCAGTCTGGGTGGGGAGAGAGTGAGTGTCAAACTCTTACTGACTAAAAACCATCCCAACTCTTTCTCTTGCTCCTGACATGGCTTAAATTCATGTTGACCGATCTCAACAATTATCTAATTGTTTGAATCATTTTCTATTAAAATAAAGGTTGTTAATTTCGTCAATCATTTGGTTTTTAGTAATAATAACAGCTTAATAATAAACGAAGTGATCGATTTCAGACATGTTGTTTTTAATGTAATTTAAATAGAAAAAAATAATAAAAAAACCGACCCTCAAAAACGACCCAATTATTATGCCAAAAAGGTTAAAAATACTAAACCCTAAAAAAACAAAAAACTTGAAAGTAAACTGATAAAAAACTGGTTTCTCGTTTTGTTAATTATAATTAAAATATTTTTAACATTGAACTAATATAAGAATTGTTTACGAATAAGGGGGCAACGACATTCAGTCTGTCGTATTGTTGTTCAAAACAACAGCTGACACTGATAAAATTGTTTAGAATTTCCTGCGATAGCTAACTTCACTATTAATATATTGAGTTTTTTTATTAAATAATTTGACTATTTTATGTCTCAATAGTTGTACACTGCCAACAAGAACTCCTTGTCGATAAACGGATAGAGAATATTTTGCGGTATTGCATTTTTTAATGCCTGTGTGTCTGGCTTTATTGTTTTCTTTTGTGGTGTATGTGTCTGTCTGTGGCATCGTAGCTCTCAAACGGATGATCCGATTTTAATGCGGTTTTTTTTGTTTGAATGGTATATCATTCGAGAATGTTTAAGCTGTTTCTTCTTAGCTCTTAGGTCATTTAATTTTGTTAGGTGATAGAAAGGTTACACACAAAGATTTTCAGTTTTTTAATCTTGAATCAATATTAAAACTATTAATTTATTGATACTTCAATGTACACAAAATGATAAAGGAACATTTATATTATCTTTTTTTCGAACTTTTCCCCACACTACTGTTTTTTCCTGTTACACACAATTTCGCATGCACATCCAGACCAAACACCCGAAACAATAATTTGTGGATCACACGAAGAGTTGTTTAAATAAATATGTAGTGTATAATTCCTCCTCATCTTCATCTATACAAAGAGTATTATAAAGCTGAAGAGTTTGTTTGAACGCGTAAATATCTGAAACTACTACTTCAAATTTGATAATTACTTTTGGGTTGAATAGTCCATTTATCGAGGTAGGCTATAAAATCAATATCACGCTACGATCTGTAGGAGCTGATGGTGGAATTGCGCGGGAATAGCTAGTGTTTTATATGTGTCAAATACTTTTGCTGACCATTAACAGCGTTATGCTAAATCATATTATTTTTCAAATACCAGGTAACATTACAATTAATAGATTACATATACAAAAACGGACTAATAGCGAATGTTATTTCATTATCTAGTTAATTTGGCTTACTAATCATTATCAAAATAAACACTATTAAGCACTAAATCGTTAGTAATTTCTCGAGTTAATTTGTTATCGATGTTACATAGTAACTAATAGACATTTACAGAGCAACATTTTTTTTTTTTAAATGTGTTAATAAATAGAAAATGTAATTGTTAATCATAGGAAGTTGTCTACATCGTATTTGTAATACTTGTAATGAATGGTACACACATTGACATCTGTTCTCCAGCACTTTATCTACCAATAGCTAAAATAACACACAATTTCCTAGAATTTCAAACGCATACTGCTTTATCATTAATTTTGTTGTCGAATAGAATGAATCAAACTTTTAGGAATTCTCCAATAGTCAGGCTTATAAAAATTCTTCTTAAAAATAAATTTTATTCAGACCATAATAATTTATAATTAAATACAAAGTTGCATCAAATTTTTTTCTTTATTTATATATAAAGCAGTTAATTTTATAATTTCTTCACAAAAGAAAAAATATAAAATTAACCTCCTTGCTGACAGCAAAAACTTTCGCGTTTCATGTTAACAACATGTTATCAAACGAGTATTAACGCAAAAAGTAATTATTTAAATACCTTGGACCGTTTACCGTTTAATAATATATGTTGTTACCCTTATCACGTCCAGAAACTATTGCAACTGCAAAAACCAAACAACTCATAAAACTCCGGCTAGTAACGACACTTGAATATAATCAGCTGTCCACATCTTCGCAAGTCAACAAGGATCAATGAGGCACCAAATTATTCGTAGGAATTGTGCACCGAAATCTATCAACCTGTTGTGTCACCTTTCAACCAGGAAGCTTGTGATTCATTATCCATAGGCCATGAATAAATGGTTTATTGATTGTTCTCGGTCAATGTCAAAGGTCCTGCCACTCTTGTGTTGCACGTCGACGGGGTTTTTTCTAATTGTCAACTTTATTGGACTAAAATGGGCGTTTCCGTTCTCAAATACCTACTGTGATCCATGGTTAATATTAAAATTTGGTGTTTGTCGTTCCTCAGCTTTGAAATTAACGTACAAACAAATCATCAGGCGTTGATTTTTTGTACATCGTGTTTGAATGAATACTAATATTGATCTGAGGTTCAAATTTAAGGAAGAAATTCTCTCAGGGGTATCACACTGGCTTCATTTTATTTGCAAGAAACATTCCGAATAGTATTTTAACAGTCCCTTTATATGATACAGGATATCCCTATTTTAGGAGATTTTTGTAAGGTATAAATTCTAATAAGCAATCAACTCCGCCTATTAAG